TGTTGTCGGCTCAACGCTCCTGTTGCGTGCGATGCTTTTAGCCTCAAACGTTCTCTTCCACATCATTGTCTTAACTCGGTTTTCGTGTACCAGCCTGCCCGGCACGTCGCTCCTCTGCGGCCTGGCACACAACTTGGAAGCGGTATGTGAGTTAGGACAACAATTTTTTTTTTATTTTCGGCGTTTGGGCAGCGCGTGCTTTGCCTGCTTGTCGTCGTACCTCTTAGGTCTCGTCCTCGAAACGCTTTGAAACTCTCGCATGCATAAGACTTACATTTCCCAAGGCTAGGTCCACGATTCGGGGCAACATTAGAGGTCGTAATTACTTGATGTCAGTTTTACTTAAGTCCGTAAGTGAAAGTTAAAGCCTTGAGTGTCCAGCCCTTGACGATAGAGTTAAGAATTATGAATATAAAGCAAGATAACTCTGCATACAAACACATACGTATTTATATTTTGTATTATTAGTAACTTTTTCTAATTAACCATGCTTGATATATATGTACTATTCAAGAAACTATAGATCCAGTATGTTGACTGTAGCTCTTCAAAGTTAAGGGACTTGCGCAACAAACAGGATTTCGATATCGATTTTTATCGATTGCTTGGGAACTGGGCAAGTTATCGATTACCGGAAACAAACTCGTGCTGCGCTGGCACTAGGAGGAACTGCGTTCCAATTTTCAAGTCCCTAGTTCTTTTCATACGGACGGACGGAAAGACAGGCAAACATGGCTAGATCGACTCCGCTATTGATGCTTATCAAGAATGTATATACTTGATGGTATATATCTGCCTGTTTCATACATTTGCACAAATTAGACCCTCTTTATCCATTTTGTGGCTTGGGCGTGGCAGTTAATTAGAGTTATTCGTGAGACCTTTTCTGATTTCTTTCAATCCCGACCGTCGCTGTCGCGCAATTGACAGTTCGAGCAAGTAAAATCAGAGAAAAATCAGAGAAAATAAAATGGCTTGCGACTTCCGAATCCGAATGCGAATCCATATTAATTCTACCGCTGCGGCATGAACGACTCGTTTGCTTAATTTGACAAACGGAATAATTTGATAAATATCTAAAGACTCAGCAGGCTGCCGCTTTCAGTCGAGCAGCCCCCCGCAGTCGCCTTTGTTGCTTATTCAATAAGCATCCAATTACAACGCGGCACGAACTAGCTCGGCAGCTCCTTAGTTTGTACGCCTGGCAACACGGTCGTATACGCAATTTTTCATTTGCTATTACGCGCATAGATAATTCTCATAATTGTTTTTGTTTGTCTGCCCTGACGTTTGTGAATTAGCCTACATATTATTCGACTCTCGCACTCCAAATGAAGCCGACTCGGCTAGCTTTAAGAGAAACAACAAAATTCAAATAAAGCAGCAAATCACGTGCTGCTCTCGTATTTTCCTTCTCGCCCGAAACCAAAACTTATATCAGCTAGAAATTGAATGACCCAAATTCAATTTCAGACTTGTGGCCCAAGTCCACATCGATACCTAACCCCACACCTAAGTCTATAAAATCATAAGTACGTTTTCAGTTACCAGCACAGCAGGTGTCCGGCCACATTCGCACATCCGAGCAGGGCGAGAATGTCGCTGGGGCCGGCAACTGGCGAGTCGAGGTGTTGACTATAATCAACGCAATGCAATTTCAATGTCTGCGTGTCCTATTTCTCTTTGGCCGGAACAAACCGCACCCAAGGCACACTGTCAACAATTTAAGGCTGAGCTGCACCTAAATTTATATTTAACACACTGGACACTAAGTAAAGAGGAGTCTATTAGTTTTGAGTGAAATTTGTAATGCACAAATCTCTTCGTTTGACTGCTAGATTACTGATTTTATTTAAGGGATCATAGTGCAATTTCATCCATGCTTAAAGAATAGGAATATATATCTCCCACAGTCTGATGCTGCTGTCTACAGTTTTGGCAACACTCACCTCACAATCAAAAAGGATATTTTCATAATTTTACAGCTATTAAAAAGGCATTGCGTAGTGGGTCTGATATTCGCACTTGTTTCACCTTTTTTTTGTCACGAAATGTGCTTTGCTTATGTTAGAAAGAAGTCTTTGGTATTGGGTGTCATATTGGTCCGCCCGCCTGTGTGTTTCTTTACGTTTGTCTTTATCGAATTTTATATAGGCAGCGAAAAGATAAAACGAGCGCTGGATTAAGTCGAAACTTATTAATATTTTACTATAATATTTCAAGTACAAATACTTATAAATATGTCTCTTTTATACTCGCTCACAAAGCAAAAATATTATATCCGGCTTGGCAAAGTCAACTGCCAGCTCCTGTGCTACAGGCAAATTTTTGTCTGCGCTATTTAAGTTAAAGTTAGAGTTGGAAATTTAGACATCTAATGAGGCAAATAAGAATAAATCGACGTGTCTTAATTTATATACAACATGCGACAACAATAATTTAGCTTGTTTCTATTTGAAAACAGAGAAATACAGAATACAAATTTAAGCTATAAGCTCATTAGGAAATGAAACTCAAATTCAATAAATATGCAAAAATTAAGGTTACAAACATATATTTTATAAATTTAACTAACAGCAAGTAATGCTCTAGTCGGGAGTGCTCGACTAGGAGATACCCTGAACCTTCTTAAAACATTTATATTGATGTCAAATTTTGTGACACTAGCTCTTATCGATTCATATCGATTGCTTGGAAATGGGGTACATTTTCTACTATCCGAAACAAACTCGTACTGCCCAAGCACTAGGAGAACCTACGCTTAAGATATCAAGTCTATAGCATTTATAGGTTCTGAGATCGACGCTTTCATACATACGGACAAACCGACAGGGGAACATGGCCAGAACGACTGGAAACAAACTTGTACTGCGCTGGAGGACCTACGTTCCTATTTTCAAGTCTGTTGCTCTTATAGGTTCTGAGATCGTTGCGTTCATATATGCGGAGAGACGGACAGACAGACAGGCAGACGGACATGATCAAGAATATATATACTTTATCGGGTAGGAGATGCTTTCTTCTGCCTGTTACATACATTTGCACAAATACATTATACCCTACTTACCCATTTTTATTGGGTTCAGTGTATAAATTGCCAAAACGAACCTTATGAATGTTCTAGAATTATTGCAACATACATATACTATATATTAGATTGGGAGTTTTTGGTACCATTGAAATGATGATTCTTTTCAGTTGAGTGCTGTCAAATAAAAAACTGTTGGCATTTGCGCTTTGTTAGCTTCAAGCGTCATTTGACCATACTATCAGCTGCATTCTACAATTAATCGCCTGGCACTTGGATAGCTGAGAGCATAAAATTCGAATGACTGAGTCTTGGCAGCGAATCGTTCAGTGTCAGCGTCAAAGCGCCGTGGAAACGAGGAGACGCACACATCAGTCGATAGATTCGAGTAGAGTGCAAGGCGGAGATGGATTAGAAGTTCCACCCAATTCACGTATCCGGCTGGTTATGAAAACTCGTGTCATGCAACGGCTCGAAGGGGGAGGGTAGAGCTGCGTGTTTGCTGCAGACAAACATTATAAATATTTAGTTATTGTGCACTGACCTAACAATTGTTGAATATCTGCTTGTTTGAGCGCAAATATTATTATATGTTTATTATTTTCGGATAATTTGTATTTGCGTAGCAGCTAAGCCTTTAAGGCTTGTACACAAACACAAATGGACGATTGTGACCAGCTCACGGTTGAATATCAGCGCCACGAGCAAACAAATGTACACATTTATCTGTATATATAAAAAATAAATCGAAATTTATGTGCGCAGCGCTTTACACTTGGCTGGGCCGTAACTGGTACCGTCACCCAGGGCGTATGCGTTATATATATTTATGGACTACTCATTATGGCCGCGTGGTCGGTCGGCCATAAATCAAATGCCAAAATGATTGATAAACGGATGGTCAGACAAGCGCACTCATTCATATGCCCATCGCTTCACTGAACTGTCGCTGGAGCTGTCTAATAATCACACACCAAATACCCATAGCCATAGCGCGGCAATCATACGCACTCTGATCCCACGGCATACAAAAAAATGGAAACAAAAGAACATACTAGTTGCTCTTGTTTCATAGTCAAAAGTAACCGACTAAATGATGCCCTGTAAGCGTTAAAATTGAACTCAAAGATTGAGATAGATGTAAGCCGAAATTTTAGAACACAAAACTACAAGCACAACCTTTCTTTTCGATATACGCCAAATTGTTAATAAATATTTTTAAGATATTAAAAAAAGTTCCTAATAGCTTATAGCTTGAATTTTTTAGGCAAGTGCCTGGGTACAGGGTATGAAAAAGCAGCTGGGATGCACGGAACTTGTCCGGCGTTGCGTAAAATCCCTTTATTACTATATTTGCAGAAAGTGTATTTGATGAGCATTCATACTTGTTGCCCTTTTTATCGTCCAGCTTCGCAAAGGACACACGCATCCAACAACCTGTGGCTTCGCATGGCCACAGCAAACAGGCAAACGCTTGTGCAATAAAACGTAATCACAAATTGATCTTATTGTGTGTGTGTGTGTGGTTTCGCTTGGCTTTTATTTTCAAATGCTTGTCCAATTTATTTGATTCGAAATCTGCCTTCAAATGGCTTAATAGTCGCAGCGGGTAGGTGAAACCGGCACGTTTTTTTTATCTGCAACTGGCAACTGTTCCCTGATGGCACACAAGTTCTTGGCCTTTCTTTGCCAGATGCGAGTCCAAGGTTAAAGAAAAGTTTCCCCATTTTTCCGTAATAACAGCCCCCGGTGGCCAGAGCAATCGGCAGTCGTAATTGTCCACTCATGCGTTTGACATTGTTTTGCAGTTGACCTCTTTCAGCTTTAGTCCGTTCTCCTAAATAGCGGCTAATTAGTCGGCCGTAGTTTGTCTTTGTACTAATTGAATTAATTGAAGGTATGAAGTATAGAAGTAAAGCTCATCGCATTACCTTAATGTCATTAGATTTTGGTTTGGTTTTCAAATTATTTCAAAAGTCGAGAGTCGTTCTCATACAAAACGAATTTGCAAAGTGATATTATTTACTGAAAATAATTACTTATTTAGAAAAAATGTTGTCATTACCATTAGAAATCATTTGAACCATGCTGGATTTATTACCACCGATGCGCCGCCCGTACTAATGACATTGGCTCCATCACAGGCAATCAATAACATGTGGGATGACAAAATTCGCTCGTCTATCAATGAAAATGCACTTGAAAAGTGCATGTCCCTCGGCAATTTCTGACAAACGACCGGAGTGCCAGATGAGTTAGAAGTCAGCAGCGGGCACAGGACGGGTCCAGTGAGTCAATTCATTTGTCTGACTTGTAGTGGGAGCTGTTGTCGACCTGGCTGACAAGGGTGTATTGTTACCGGGTGATGTCAGAGAAATGTCACAGAGCTGTTAAACTTTTGCAACTGTAAACATAACAGTGACAACAGTATTAAGGGGCACGACCAGGACAGGCCGATGACAGGAAGTGCTGAATGCAAAACGCAGAGGAGCAGCTGTTATGGCCACTGCCATCATCTGGCTCTGCTGCAGTCAAATGGACAAACGGAAGTCAAGAAGAGAAGGGGAGAACAGCTGGTGGGGGGGAAGAAGGAAGAGTCGCTGCCAGGGCACCGGCTTCTGCTTCGTTGAGCAGTTAATGAATCACTTAATGGGAAATGGTATTCCTGTGACTTCCGTTTGTGTCCGTTGGAGGGGATGCCTCAGGTCGGGCTGAAATTATACCTGTACAGCCCTCTCGATCGATTTTTAATTGTTGCCTCGGTGCTATGTGTCGGCTAGCATTGCTTGAGGCTAGTTGCCCATTCGCAAGTTGGCCAGTTTTAATGGGTTTCGTGTGCCTGAAAGATTCAAATACTTCTTTAATCAGATATTTATTATTATGGCTTGTTCTGTTTCTTCTTTCAGCTAATAAAATCGCAACGCAATGATGACAAATAGATTCGCTTGCTGCGCCTTCGCATTGATGACCGTCTATCTACTGGCAATCTCGAGGACCGATGCTGCACCCATGCCCAGGTAGTTGTGGAATTACCTCATTTGCCACAAATTTTTCTTTTTAGACAGTTTCGCAGACGTCGCCTGCATGAACTAATTAATTTCTGGCACTTTGGCTGCGAGTGCTGCAAAAATATTTGCGGAAACCAATTGCCAGAGTTTGTTCAGAGTCTGTGTGTGTGTTCGAGGCGTTCAGCCACACAGAGCATTATAAAAGGCAAACAGAGATATGGAGGACTTTTTTGACATCGGCTGCGATGATGAGGCCAATTTCGACAGCAAATGTAGGAGATGTGCCTGGATGGAAGCGCATGTCCTTAGTCATTTTCAGGGCATTTCCTTTTTTTATGTGCCTTTTTTCACTTGGCTGGTAGAATATTTAATTAACTGAATGTAAACTCTTGCTGATGTGACAGTTTTAACAGCAAACGTGTTATATATGTATTTTGTAAATCGCACCAAGGAGAACACTTGAAATAATTAAAATCTTGTTTCAAATGTGTATGATTTACCTACGCAGACATCTTGACCCATTTAAATAATGTGAAAGTTCTTTTAATGGGCAACTGCTCAAATGGAAAATGACATTCATTAACTTTGACGAGTGGGCGAGCGGCCGCCTTTCGATTTCCATGCAAATGCAAGATATGAAGCGAATGTCAATTACAAGCAAAAGTAATTAGAGGCCCTGATTATTTAATTATTTGTGCCGAATTGTACCTTTAAGTTAATTATTCAATAAATTTGACAAGCAGGAATTTAAGGAATTATAGTAATGTTAATATATATCGCCTCACAGTCAAAGTGCCAACGGCGGCTATGGCGCCTACAACGAGCTCGAAGAGGTGCCGGACGACCTTTTGATGGAGCTGATGACACGCTTCGGTCGCACTATAATACGAGCACGTAACGATTTGGAAAAGTAAGCTTAAAGGCATAGTTTTAAGGCTCTTGTATTCAATCCTGCTCTTTGTTAGCTCGAAGCGCACCGTGGACTTTGGATTGGCGCGCGGATATTCCGGCACTCAGGAGGCAAAACATCGCATGGGCCTGGCTGCAGCCAACTTTCCCGGCGGACCAGGTCGAAGGCGACGATCCGAGACCGATGCTTAAATGGGCGATGACTATGACCACGATAATTTCTGACTAAAAAAACGAATTCCTTAAAAGCTACAAGAAATTAACAACGGATATTGTTACGATTTCCACTGACTTTATTCTAATGTGAAATTAAAGGCGTTTGCCAAAACTTTTTGCAATCAGTTTAACTAAAACCCATTCAATTACGTTACTATTGATACTTCCTATAACGCATTGTATATACATATTAATTGGAATTTCTATGTATCACATACATACAAGTGAGGTGTGCTATATCCGATTATACGCGTTTTAGTTTTAAAACATTTGAAAAAGCGTTAAATTGTTGCTCCACTGTTGAATGAATTTATGCACGCTCAATCTTTAAGTATTAAGATCATAATCCACTCTCGCTCTCTCGCTCGTCTTAATGCCTAAATACAAATATAACCTATTTAGTAAAATGTAGAAACAAGTACAATACAAGCTATAACAAAATTGAACTGTAATTAAACTCGCGCAAAAAATCTTTTAATAGGTATGCCTTAGTCTTAACACACAACATATGTATACACACCCACATATATACATATATATAACTATATCTGTATCTATATATATGTAAGTATGCACATGATAGTTGCCATAGGCAACATATTTGCTGGATCCCAAGTCAAAGAAGTGCAAGTTAGTTTCCCGCTTACAAGTTGAGTTAATAAGTATATGAGAAATAAAAAATATTTTATTGTGTCACTTGAAAATCTCGTTTTATATTTTGATCATGAGCTAACCTACCATTTATAATTATGTACGAACTGTTTTGGGCTTGAACAAATTTAACCGAACCAACAACTTTGAACTTCTTTAGCCATTTGCTGCAGCTTGGAAGCACTTCCTGTAGATAGATTTAAGAGTTTGCGACGCATGCATCAAATATCTAAGAACGTACGCTTGCATATGTACTTATATATATATATATATAACTATATACGGATTATTGTGTCTATTAATAACATATATACATTAATATCCTAATGGACAAGATTAAATAAATTTACGTTTAGAGAAACATAGCATGATGTTGTGATAAATTCGTGTTATTTTTTGTGGCAAGAAATCAAATGTGGGCTCTACTCCAGCCTCTAGCTCTTATAGGCTCTGAGATTCTTGCGTTCATATATGGACAGACAGACAGGCGGACAATGATGCGGATCAAGAATATATATACTTTATGGGGCCGGAGATGCTTTCTTCTGCCTGTTACATACATTCGCACAAATACATTATACCCTTTTTAACCATTTTGATTGGGTTCAGGGTATTCAAGTTTTGAGGCACATAGTTTGAGCAAATTTAATCCCGCAAGTAATACAAAAACGAGAGCACTATTCAGAAATATAGTTTTGATTTGAAAACATTGTTGTGAAGTGAAACGTACCACATACATATATGTATACTATCTACTTCACGTTATGCTTTAGGATATAGTTCCTATATAAATATTATAAGACTTGAGTTATGTTTTCCCTAATACTCTTTAAGGTAGTGTCACTTACGCTCTGGATAAAAAGTAGGTTATCTTTAAAAGGTCCGGAACTCATCCTGACTTCAACTGTCGTCCTTTAAGTCAAACGCTGACCTTTGGAAGTTCGCTCCTTGGCTTTATTGACCTCACTCTTAGCTACCCAGATAAATACACCAAGTTTTATTACTACTTAAGTAAGTATAAGTGTATATATAAGAAACATACTCGTATAAGCGCGTTCAAGCTTATTTCAAATGTATCTTTTGGGAGCACCAAATGCGCCACAACTCGTTTTAGCTTGATTGTGCTTATATGTGCCAATACATTGCGATTGAATGTGCTTATTTATTAGCCCGATCGTAAAATAATAAAATGCGCAATATTGCCCCAAATCGATAAGCCCAATTAATTAGAGAGGAAAAATGTATCAATGTTAAATCAAATATAACTTTACTTCCCAATCTAACCAGGTCCAGGGTTTTTACTTTCCTTTTCGACATTAATTTTCCAATTAGTAAGTAAATTTACGAAAATTATATTAAATAAATTTTCCTAAGGATTTTTGAAGATGAGCTTGTAGCCGATTTAATGGTAAATCCGCCTTTTTCCCAAGGTACGTGTTTAAAAAGTTTTTATGCTGGGCTTTAAAAATATCTTTGACACATATCGGAGAGAAATTAAAACTACACCCAAAAAATCGTTGATCATTTTTGATCCCCATTTCCACCAAAGAAGCTTGAACTCTGCGATTTTTCATCAAAATCCTTTCAAAATCACTTCAACCCGGAACTTCATCAAGCAGAGATATATTTTGCAAAGAGTGTGAAACAGCCCTTAAATGAATTTTAACAAAGATCTCTGAAAATGAATGTTTTAACTCCGTTTGGATGATAAACAAGAAAGCGTCATACAACTGTTATCTCGATTTTTCCGCATTTGAAGGAGGAATTTCACAGAACCCCATTCAAGGCAACTACGGTAATTCCTAGTAATTCCTATCGTCATTCCCTCAGTGATTGAGTCAGTCGCGTTTGTTCCGAGTAATATGTACAGAGATAAGTATGAGCTTCTACATATATATATTTCTAATAAAAGGACTTAATCACATGTAAATCATTCGTATTATTATCATATTCCGATACGCCCAGCATAAATAGTTAATAAACTAATTGGTAGCCGATATTCATTCTAATTATATAATTAAATAGCTCATTCTAATTTGTACATAATTTGCTGAAAACGAATAAAAACGAGAAAGAAAGGCTATCTTCGGCACGCCGAAGTTCTAATACCCTCGCCGAATTTGATCAAGATATCTTGATAAACAAAAAAGGTTTTTAATCAAAAACCTAGTTTTCGACCGATCGTTCCTATGGCAGATATATGATATAGTAGATGTAAATAAGATTTTGCAAAAATGAAGGGAGCATAGTGAAATCTTTAAATGCCGTGCTTAATCAAAATATCTTGAATGACAAAAAAGTTTTCCATACAAAAATTTCATTTTCGACCGATCGTACCTATGGCAGCTATATGATATAGTGGTCCGATCCAGCTGGTTTTCACATATGTGCTGCGTGCAACAGAAAGACGGACTTCTGCAAAACTTCATTAAGATAGCTTTAAGACTGAGAGACTAGTTCGCATAGAAACAGACAGACGGACATGGCTCTATCGACTCGGCTGTTGATGCTGATCAAGAATATATATACTCTATGGGGTCGGAGATGTATTCTTCTATGCGGTACACATTTCACGACAAAATTATAATACCCTCTGCAAGGGTATAAAAAACAACTTTCAAGATGGAATGACCCCTATATATTCTTACAAAAATGGGAAACAACAAATACTACCTGTACTACTAAATAAAGACTCACCTCCACAATGAAGCTATGATAGCTTGAAACTACAGAGGAAAACGGAAGAGAAAGTCGACGTTTCTGCATTGTTATGAAGTTAACTAACGTAAGTCCTTACAATCGGCAGGTCGAACCGAACCATCTTAAGCCCAGAAACATACGCAATAGAAAATATTCAGGGTTCTGTCATATTCAATATCATCACGAAACACCACATATATTTATATATATACGCTATAAGTTATCTGATCAAATCGGAACGCGCTTTATACTTTTGCTCTCAATTGAGTGTACGGGCCCTCTCAATTGCCCCTATAAGTCATTATTGGCATTTTAATTCATATTAAGTAATCAGTATGTTTCTGAGCTCCGTCAGCTGCAGTTGAGCATAAAAATGTATAATCGAATTAGTGTTATATTTTTGGAATGTACTATTCTGTTACTGTTGTCGATTAATGCCAAATCCCTAAGTTTAATGGAAGGTGATGTTAATGAGAAATTGTCGTTTTTGATTAAAAAAAAGCCAATATAAGAAACTTGTCCATTTTTAGGCTCGAACACTAGAGTGCATATAGAGCATCGTGTATTGGATACTTTTCAAGCGGATATTCCGAAACATTTTGAAAAAATCGGTCCGAAATACTACTACATCGAGCATATCAATATTTTTAATTGGTTTGGAGCTGCCGAAAAGTGTCGGCAATTCGACGCCCATCTAATCAATCTTCAAGACAATATCGAATTGTATAACGTGGGCTTGAACTTAAACCAATCCCTTAACTATTGGACCGATTTGAATAACCTCGTCAATCGAAGCATATTTTATTCTCTAACAACTGGAACAAGTGCAAACTTGCTAAACGATCAATTAAAGAGTCAGACAACTCATGATATAAATATGTGCGGTCTCATACAGTTCGACAATAACACATCAAATTTTATATTGGCCAAGCACAAATGCGTGGATAAAAAGGCTTACTTTATTTGTGAGACAACTCAACCAACCACAATATCTTTTCTATTATGGTGAAAACTCAAATGCATACAGTCATATTTATTAGTACTCGTTTAACTTCATACATTCATATGAAGTACTCGTTTTTCTTCATACATTCAAAGTTAGTACTCGTTTAACTTCATACATTCATAGTTAGTACTCGTTTTACTTCATACATTTATATGTAGTACTCGTTTTACTTCATACATTCATAGTTAGTACTCGTTCTACTTCATACATTCATATGTAGTACTCGTTTTACTTCATACATTCATATGTAGTACTCGTTTTACTTCATACATTCATAGTTAGTACTCGTTTTACTTATTTAATAAACACAGAATATGTTGTACAGTCCTTCTCTTTCTTTAATGGATGAAGTGGAATGCTTAGTACATTATGTACACAATATGACTTACTAATAAATATATGTGTGAAAAAATTAAATCGAGCACTTTTTATATATATTGCCATATGAATAAGTAGGCATGAATCAGGCAATGAGCAACAATGAAAACCCTTATTAATGCACGCTATGATGAAAGGGAGCCGAATAAAGGTTTAATTAAACGAGGCTTCAGAAGCGACTTATTCTAGCTACATGTTTTTATCTTATAACCTATATATAACAACAAAACCGTAGAGATTATTATTATTGGAAAAAAAAACTGTCTTGATTGGCACTGGAAGCTACAACCTATTGTCATATGAAAAACATAAATAATAATACTCCATCGGACAACGCAAGGGGAAGCATAATACGTTTGTCCTCGCAAATCTCAGCGATTCATTATTTAAATTTAGGCACTTATACTAATGTCAGTTATTTACAGTCTCCGTCGCTGATGTTGCTCCAGAAGTGGACTCTCCTGCATGTTAAGCGTGATTTCAGATTTTCACCCCATTCGACTGGCCAGTCGACATCAACGCGGATGATATGGTCATGTTGGCATTGCTGGCGGCATTGCTAGCAGAGGCAACTGTTTGGCCGCTCAGCTCCATGTACTGAAAGGGCACGTGATAGGTTTGGCCTTTGTGCTCCACAACCAAATGGCCCCGACCACTGGAGGCACCCACAACAGTTACGGTGTCGCCTTTTTTCAGCTGCTGCAGTTCACCAGGGGCTGGCGGCGACAGGCCAGCTGTAGCCGGATTAGCAAGTGCATCCTCTGGAAAATTCATTTTCATGATGCGACTTTGCGGATAGCCCAGCTTCTTTGAATTGGCTGTGATGGTGTAAGCCCGTGATAGTGGAACGGGCGGAGGGCGTTCCTGCGGGCGGCAACCACAGCGTTATAATCCCAGCAAGTGGTGTAGTTTACATGTAAAAAGTTCAAAAGAAAAAACAATTTAACTGCATGACGATATAGGGGTAACGAATCTGTTGCACACATTCTCAAAAATATATATTTGTAACTGGCAGTCAACAATTTACATATAATCGTAGATCCCCACGTCTCAAATGATAAGATATTAGAAATGTTTTCTTAAATGAGCATCAAGTCGAACGGAATTAAAAGCTAATCGGATAAGCATTTTTATGCACATGATCCCAATTGCCGAGAGATGAAAATAAGATACGAGAATATGTATATGTATTCTGTCAAGATCGGAGATGCCTCTTTCCGCTTAACACTAGTTTTCGTAGTTTGGGGAAAGGGTATTCGTCAAGAGTTGCTTACCAAATCCAGTCCGAAGAGACTGCATGTTTGCTGGATAATCTTCTGGTCGCATTTCTCGTGTGGATCCGGAGGTGGTGTGCCGGCAATAGGCTGAGGTCGCGGGCGAGTCACTGTGCCTCCGTTGCCGAGACACGGAGTTTGATTTGTGGACTTAGCGGACAGGCGCGAGACTAAATGGCAGGAGAGAGACAGTAGAACAGTAAGACGCAGGTCGAGTATATGCCATCAGAGGTATCTCACCTGTATTGGGAGCTGCGGTAGCCACGGCCGCCAGGGCGGCCATAGCTGCTGAGGCTGCCTTGCCATTGGGATTGTTGTGGGCATTGACGAGCTTGGCACAAGTGCTGGCGATGGCGGGTAGCGCAGAGATTAGGCCGGTGTCGGTGGCACAGGATCGCTTTAGGCTGCTGCCCATCTTCTTGCGCCAACACCAGCCGCGCCAGATGGATTGTATTCGGGTGGCGCTTTTGTTACGAATCTCCGTGCGCAGGTGCTCAAGATGCTGGCGGATGCCTTCGCTAATGAAAACGTGTCTCTTGCCCGGCGCCCAGGCCAGCGTAACAGAGCCATCCTGCACAGGCAGCTGTTCCATGCCCATGGCGTACTGTAGTATCAGCTGGCAATCCTCTAGAGCTTTGTCCTCGGTGCGCCGCAGTAGGCGGAACGGAGCCAGCATTCGATAGCGCGCATTGAACTGTTTAAATCGCATGCGGTGCGGAAAGCCTGAAGCCATCAGATTCACGGTCTCCAAGACCTGCAGCGATCGGATCTGCCGCACCACAGTCACGCGATCGAACCTGCTCGGCTGCTCATATGTATTGCTACGGATGCAGCGCACAAAGTGCGGCCGGGCATGGACCAAAGTGCGCAACAGATTATCCAGCCGTGTGTGAAAATCCTGAGTTAGCGTGGAGACAGGCTCATCCCCGTTCAGCAAGTCGGAATGCGAGGTGGGTGAGATTCGGAAGCTAAGACCTCGTGGCGCGTGCTGCTGGGCATAGAGAGCCTTCAGCTCGGATCCAAATAGATGAGTAGCGAATCCAAAGTTGCAGCTGTGCTTGTAAAATACGGCGACCAGATCGTCCGGCACCACGTCTCGGTTGGTGTCCAGAAAGTCGGTGGTGTCGTACTCCACGCGACCGGCGAAGTGTCTAATGGCAAACAGTCGCGGATCGTCAGGCTCCAAGGCGGTTCGTGTCTCCAGACGCGTCGAGCAGCGATGCTGCACCTTCAGCTTGGTCACGTAGCTCTCGGCTGTGCCGCGCACCGAGCACTCCATGTCCAACAGGCTCAGCAGGCCTGTGCGCAGCGAGGATATCAGGTCAATGCATGGCACATTATCCACATAGTCCACCTCGGTTTCGCAAACAATGCCCTCGTCCCGGCAGGACTCCACCGATGATTTAAAAATGTGCGTGTTGTAAAAGTGCTGCATAGTCTCTGCGCACAAATTGATGCACAAGTGCTCCAGCTGGGCGTGCGGCGAAGGTTCTTCAAAGCCGAACATGTCCAGTATGCCAATGAACCCGTCCGTGGCATGCCGCACCGCATTATTCAAGGCTGCCATCGACTTGGAGCCCGCATTGCCGCCGCCAATGGTCGACGTGTGCTGCGATGCCGCATCCGCCTGGTTGTGCACCGACTCGTTCGAGTCCGAGCTCAAGGTGCCCAGCGTAGAGCCCAGACGCTTCAGACTGTTCGCTCGCCTCACAATCGTCGCCACCAATCTGCAGTAGAGCGCCTTGGCCAAACAATCGCGCGTCATGTTCGCATCCCCGTCCCCGCAAACCGACTTCACCAGCTGGCCCCGCACATTGTGGGTGCGCGTGGTCAGTCCGCGGAACAGTGCGGCGGGCGGCACGCCCAAAAGACTGGCCACCGAATTGAGTTCCGTCTCGCCCTTGACATCTACCTCAAGGCCCTGTAAGAAGCAGACAGGCAGAGAGCTTACTTTAATAACTTGTTTGAATAATATATAAGATGCCAGATTAAATGATGCTTACACTTTCTGTCTCTTATGGGAATTTTATTTGAGCTAACTTTATTATGCTCAAGACTTAATAGTTTTGCTGTTGTTAAACGAATATTATTGCGCATGCAAGTGCCACCGAAGTTCTTCTTCTTATTCGCACCAACTGCAGATAGTTGCGAGGCAAAAGTTTTTCAGCAAACAAATTCGAATGTCATCTAGCGGGGTGTGCACGACTAGGAGTTACGCTGTAACCAGCGCCGAGCTACCGTTATAAACGTGTAAACCCTAAACCTTAAAGTATATTTTTTTTCTGATACTTTCTTCATTGTATTATTTATTTGTCAACAGTTTTATAACCTAACCCCTTGATGGGTAAACAGGGTATACTGGTTCGTATATAGTAGGGAGAAGAAAGCAACTCCGACCCCACAAAGTATATATGTTCTAGGTTAGCATCAATATTCGAGTCGATCTAGCCACGTCCGTCTGTCTGACCGTCTGCCCGTATGCATGGACGCGTCCATCTTAGAACCTTTAAGAGATAATCGATAACTTGTTCCGTTTCCAAGCAATCGATAAAAATCGATATAGCAGGATTTTACTGCTTTTCAAACGAATCTCTTAGGCTTTAATAGTTGGATTCAAAAAATTTGATATGTTGCGTCTAGAATAGTATGCTCAGATCAGGTATCTTTCAATATTAGCACAGTCATTGAATAGTCAGAATTCCAATTGGAAATGTATATCGCTATAGAATGGTTTGGTAGATGTTGGTTCATGGTATCCCCTAGTCGGGCACTCCGGACAATATTTAAAACTTTGCCCAAAAAGCCTTTGACCCGCATTGAATTTGAAACTTCACTTGCCAAATCTTTGACCCCCATTTTCTACCAAGAAGGGATGGACCTTCCAACAAGACACCCCTCCTTTGAATTGTCTTCTTAGTTTTTGAGATAAACATTCTTTACTCGATTTATTTCATTTTCGATAATTCAACGTACATTTTTCTATACGGCCTAAACTAGCCAAAAATGTGCTGGCCTAATTGTAAATAATTTGAAATAAATACCCAAATGCGGATAGAGCCTTGTTTTGGATAGGTCATGGTCGTCGCTAGAAAACTAACGGAACTAATTTCTATGGCAGCAAAAGCCACTGCAGTGGATAACAGCACACATGCATATACATATTTTGATGTACTCTTGCATGCATAATTCACACATACAAACATAGGTGCTTGCATGCCATTGGCTGAGGCAATCACGTCTCATTCAATGTTGGGAGTCGTAAGCCTATCGCACTTGAACCTTCTTCTTTTTCATGTATACAAAAAACACACACACACACACCAATAAACATGTATTACATCCAGTAATCGCAATATATAACTAAACATATATAAGATTCCGGCTGCTTATGAACAATAAAATAAAACTTCTTGCTCAGTAATATATACAGATTTCGAACACGAAATAAATTCAGACGTAAATTACCCATAATAATCATCATCGCAAGAAATTAGGAGCACCTAAGGCTACGCGAATCGAACTCGCGACTTCCGCGTGACAGATCGACATTCCAGCATGAACGCCATTCCACTTAAGGTAAACAAGGGATAAAAATTGAATAACCAGCTGAGCACAATAACATGTATGTTCAAAACTAGGTGGCGCCACTTCACAAAACATTAAAAAGTCTACAGATGGCGTCACGCCGAAAATCCTACATCAGCAAAACACACCATCTATTGGAATATCTCGGAAAAATATATCAAACAGAAAAGGTGTCTAAATATTAAAATGTACGATATTAATACCTTGTTACTTGAACTATTCACATTAAACTAAAATTGTTGTTATTTTAACACATTTTTTCTCGATTCGAATAGTGAATTGGTATTTGAATACTAGCAGCATATTTGCGCATACAGCGCATTTGATAGCCATAAAATTGATGTAAGAGTCTAAACAATATCTGGTATGGGAATATGTTACTTACCCCGCCGTCGATAAACTGAACATTGCCCAGCAATAGCACAGCAGCGAGGACACGCACCACATCCAGAAAGGGTATTCCCAATATGCCCAGGCAAGTTTTCCAGGCCTGAAAGCGCACCGCGTCCTCGTGCTCATTCTGAGTGATGTCGCCGCGGAGATAGCGCAGATTCGCCGGGGAGTAGCCCTCCAAATGGAGCTTCTGGCGCTCCTCCCTGTTGAGGCCAGCGAGTAGCTGGTAGAAAATGTGATAGTTCTTCTCTTGAGGCAACGGACGAATAACTCGAGTTTGATCCAGAAAGTAACAGTGTATCTTGGTACGATAGAGCGCACCGTCCGTGACCTGAACCTCGATGAACTGGCCAATGCGACTGGACTCGGAGTTGGTGGTTGTCTTGGCGGAGCCAAGTGAGCGTAATACTGTAAAGGCGGCGGCCAAATGCTTAAACGCATCCGTCTCCTGGCCACCGCCGGCAATGGCAAACAACTGGCGCAGCATGAGCATGGCGTTGGCCGTCTTCCCGGCCCCGCTAGTTCCCGACAGTATGATGGCTTGAGGGTAACCCGTCTCGCTCTGCTGACGCACTGCCTCCTGAACGATCTTCTGCAGCTGTGGCGCCAGCGGTAGGTCTCGCGTAGAAGTGAGCGTTAGCGGATTTCCAACATCCAGGTATGGATTAATCGAGAGTAGTATCGATCCCACGTTGGTCTACAAGATAAGCGTATCACAAGGGAATCTATAGATTTCCGTGCAGGCATGTCAAGGGGTACTTACGAAGTAGCGCTGCTCGTTGAAGCGGGCTTGCAGGGTGTGCATGACGGCGTGCTCGTTCAACGGGCCCGCCAAATGGATCAGATCCTGCATGTCCTTGGGCAGACGGTTTGCCTGCTGCTGCTTGGCCCCGCCGGCTGCAGAGCCAAACCCGAATGGTAACGTTTTCACGCTTTGGCACGGATTGACGTGCTTGGTTGATGGCAATTGTTGGCTATTCTGATGCGCAGACACATTCACTGACGCCGGGAGCGAGGCTGCAGCGGAGGAGCGCATAGGCAGCGTGTTGGATCTGCCATTGACACTGTGCGGCAGGGACGCGGGCGTCAGGGTTCCTGTAAAGCCTAGACTTCCGCTGTGCCCCTTGTTCTGGCCCATGCCGGACACCTCACCCAGCTGGTGCGGCAGCGGATGCGGAATGGACGTGTTGCGCGCCGAGATGACAGCGCCCGATCCTGCATTGCTCGGCAGCGTCTGGCTGTAGTTGTACGCATGCTGCCCGGCAATTAAAGTACACAATCAGTAGACGTTCAATGTACGTGTATATGTAGGAGCTTACCTTGGACAGGGTGTTCTGGCCGCTTCCGTTCGCATGCTGCTGCAATGCATTCGCAGAGAGCCCCCCGGTGCCCAGGTTCAGGTTCGGACTGGACGCGTTCAAGTCATAATTGGCTGCCTTCGATCCAGCAACTGCAACGCCAGCAGCAGCGCCTCCTGCAATGCCGTGATGCTGTACATCGGCTGCCCGGCCATGCCCCTGACTTTCCACATGCAGACGATTGCGCATGACCAGCAGCTCGGTGCTTAGACTCTTGAGCCGCTGTTGCAGGTGCACTGCCTCATTTGACGACGAGGCATCTGAAAGACGAAAGACACTCTTCTGATTAATAATGTTTCCCATTAATAGCATATCTAATGTGAATGAAAGAAGGGGTCGCCCCTGAACAGTCTGATGAGCTTCTGATTTATTCGCAAACTATCAATACGAGTAGTTCCAACAAGCAAGAGGATCTAGTCTCTAATAGCTTCTGTGTTGCTCAACACATCTTGATTATATTTTCAGCAGCAACTCTTTTTGTGCGCATATACTTAATAGGAGTGTACTAGTCGGGAGTGCACGACTAGAAGATACCGCTTGCAAAAACATTTCGATTTTCGCGGCAAAAACTGAACTGAAATTATTATTTTTTTTTTGGCATGATAACCATTTTGTTCTAAATCTGTCCTACGTTGACAATTATTACATTTTTCAAGGGTACTTAATAGGTTGTCTTACATAGCAACAAACTTTCTATCACTCCCTCTATACCCTATAAACTTAACATTCTATAGCCTATTTCAAATTCCTTTAAATTTTTTGTGCCTTAGAATATTCATATTTTTAAAAAATGACAAGGCCTTAAAACGGAACCCACACATAAGAACTAGAGTGGGGATTTCTAGTTCAATTTGCTGAATAAGTTCATTTGTTCATTTTCTGGCCGTGAACTAAATCGTTCATTTAGTTCACTCGTTCAACTATTCGCTTAGTTCAGTTATACAGTCAAATATAAATTAAAGTTAAATCCCGCTATATTTTATGTTTATTAAGAACTGAAAATCTCAAAAGAATATATCGTTCAGGAACTGCTGAACTGCTGAGTTGCATACAACGTTCATGACCGACTGAATAGCTGAACGAGTGAGCTAAATGAACGATTTAGTTCACTAATCACTGAATAAGTTCAGTAGTTCATTTTAATGACCCGTTCAATCGAACTTGATCTGAACTAAACGAAACAACTCTAATAAGAACAGACGCAGCCTTAGCCGCACACAATGGGAAATGCTTTCGTTTATTTCGGTCATCGGCCGATTTTTAAAAAATGTCCAGGGCATAAAAATGGCATCAAAATGTGTTTAAATAGTTTAAATGAAACCTCCAAAATGTCTAAATGCTTCGATCTTTAGTTTATTTCCGATTATTAAACAATTGCTCTGATTCCAGGCAATCGATAAGAACCGATATCGAAATTTATTATTTAATTATAATTAATAATAATAAAACTTCAGTCCCAACTAGACTAATAGTAACTATGCCTTGCGGAGACTTATATTCCGTATTAATTAGTAACTGGTCTTAGACTTTGTCCGATTTTACTGCTCAGTTTCTGGAGTTCTATTTTGAAAGAAAATTTTTTAATCTGTGAGAATATTATTTAAAAAGTAAAATACCAAATTTATTGTCTCTTTTTCTTAAACTAAACTCTTTTAAAAAACCCAACGAATATGGGTTGAAAGGGTAGAGTTGTAAGGATTTCGATATTGATCCTTATCAAAAGTCAGTCAATCAGGACAAACCATTTTAAATATAGATTGCGAAGCGGAATTTGAAACAAGCCCAAGTACAATGTTATTTGAAATCGAAATAGTATCAGAGCGGCAATTCAGTCCTAGCTCGATATTTTGAGGGCAGCAAACCAATTCGGACTTAAAGGCAACGGCAACTCTTAACTCTCAACAACTTTACAATAAACATTTTATTTTAATTAATATTTCAATTGTAGAAATACATCTTATGCACATCGATTGGTTTACAGCTTGGACGCTCGGAAGAAGCTTGTTACAAGCATCTTTGGATTAAAATATATTGTCTACGAATACTTGCAACAAGCTTCGTCTGTGTTTCTATATGCTTGCTTGACTGCATAAAAGAAGGTTCTTAGTAGCCTCTCTCTAAAAAGTGTAGTTGGTACCCGAAGTCGGGCTGCCAGTTTTTATACCTTGAACCCATGAAAATAGGTAAAAAGGGTATATTGTATTTGTGCAAAATGTAAATGTATGTAACAGGCAGAAGGAAGCATCTCCGACCCCATAAAGTATATATATTCTAGATCAGCATCAATAGCCGAGTCGATCTAGCCATGTCCGTCTGTCTGTCTGCCCGTCTGTCCGTCCGTCCGTCCGTCCGTCTGTCCGTATGTATGAACGCAAGGATCTCAGAACCTATAAGAGACTTGAAATTTTAGATGTAGGTGCTCCTAGTTCCCGCGCAGATCGAGTTTGTTTCCGATTATCGATAACTTACTCCGTTTCCAAGCAATCGATAAAAATCGATATCGATATCCTGTTTTTTGGGCAATTTTGGTAAATAATAAGAGTAGAGTCACCAAACTTGACATATTGCTTCTAAAATAGAATATATATATGCATTTGATGTTGGAAGAGGGTTCAGAGTATCCCCTAGTCGGGAGCTTCCGACTAGAACCTCTTACTTGTTATAGATACATTCAATATATATTTCGTTTATAGTAATATCATTAAACTAAACTTAAGAAACATATCGTAAAGTAGTGTAAAATATTTATAAATTTGTGTATATTAAAACTTTAAACTTTTATCTAAAGGCTGTTTTATGTTTCCAGATCCAGTTTGTGATCTATTACTGGAGATATGAAAATTGGTTTTTTTGTTGGAGAAACATTTGATCAATGCGTGTATTCCAAATATATATGAAAAGAAACTTTCTAGATTATATTCTCGTTCGCCTTTTCAGTCCACAACTGTTGATTATAAATCTTTAAAATGCAGAAGAACTTAAAATTCGAATCAAGAAATTTTCAAAAAAGCTGAAATCAGCTCTCATAGAGTTCGCAAAATAGCAGACAACAGAAACAACACCAACTGGCTCCGACGACGACGACGACGACGACGAGGGCCACATTTAAAGATCTCAACGGATGTGTTGGCGGCACTGCCTGGGACCAAAACTGGTCACGATGGGCGCGCGGGGATCATGCGACGAAGCTGGAGGCAGGCATATGTTGCAAGCCAAGCCAAGCACACACCTTTATAGCGATACAGCTGCGCATTATATACAACGTGCCCAGCACACATAGGTACATCGAGTTGTTTTTAATGTGGACAATGTGTTTTATTATGGTAATAGTTGCTGTAGCTGCAACAGATATGATATAGCCAGAGCAAAATGTGTCTTATAATGGAGCTAAGGTACAGTTGTGGAAAGGCGAGCGTATCAATCGTTTGCTGTTTGGCCCAGATCTGGCTATACTATAATTATGCTATAATTATGTACTTTTACATTGACAGCAGGCAAGGTTCAAAGCTCTGCTCAAACAATCAAGAAAGCACAATTATTTTTATAGCAAAGTTAGTTATGGTAGAGCGTAGAAACAAAAGACATAGGAAACAAACGTGTACAGGGGTTTGGTTGAATACAGATAATTACCCTGCAGCTTCTTCTCGGTCTCCCAAAATTTTTGCAATTCCGTAAAATATTTATCCAGTATGAAAACTTTTGACAGGCCCAATGTGGCCATCGTAGATGTACATTTGTGTGGCCAGCCGGGTATGAAACAAACTAATTCGAGCTGCAGTCGCAGAAACGAGTTTTCGGTTTTCAAATGCGTTGCTTTTATTTGTATTTGTATTCTTTATTTTTATTGTTATTATTATTCGCTTTTGGCGACGCACACACGACGAAAAGGACGAAAAGCGTGCTACGTCGGCACCGGCGACGACGTTATTTCTTATTTGAATAATTTCGTATACTTCGTAGACTTATACACAGCACAAAACACGCCCGATCGAACAGGTTTTCGGCAGAGACGCTTACAGAAGGCAAACATTGTCCAGGTTGACCAGATTGTCTACATGCATGTGTGTGTGTGTGTGTGTTTGCCTGCGTCTGTATGGGTGTGCACGGCATACGAGCTGGGCATGGAACCGATACCGATACGCCCGAAGTGAACGACTGTCTCTCTGCTCGTGTGACTGGGGATATTTTTTTTTTTTTTCTTTTTTTTGGCTGCGCAGCAAGTGAAACAACAAAATACAAACAAACGAGTGCAAAGAATGCAGAAGGGCAGCAAAAGCAGCCAAAGCACTGCAAAGCATCTGCCTCAATCAGTCCGACATAGTTTTCGGAGTTGTGCGAATCTACTCCGTATTATTTTTTTGTTTTGTATATGCATATGTATATTGATTCTGCTTATAATTATATATGTAGCTCAGGCACGCGCGCTTGTTTTCTTGTTGTATGCAGACATTTTTCTTGCTGCTGTTGTTGTTGTTGTTGTTGTTGCTTTTGTGAAAAACAAGTTACCACCAATTTGAGCTCGCAGACAGCAACAAGCAGCACACGCAGAGTTGGAACTCGGAGTAGATGCTTAGATACCTTCGAGGTACACACACACACACACATAAACTCACACACATACACACATATATGTGTATGTATGCAGCGCATTAGCACAGCTTTCGAGAAAACAATTTGATTGAGAAGCGACTTCGAAAGTTCTTCTATGTTTTTTTTTTGGACAATTTATTTATGGCGTTTTTTTTCGGACTGAACGTTCGATTTCTTTGATTTTCTTATAATCCACATTCACAGAGCACACTAAAGAGGCGAAACGAACAGCCGTTGACTTCACTTGCTCGCTGCCAGGCCAATGCAAAGACTGAACGCTGGAACTGAGCCGCTCCAGACGCCGCTCGGACGTTGTAGAAAAGCGATCGTTGTGCTCTCCGAGGCGCGCTCTCGTGTTGGCGCAGGTAAATTTTACAAAACAGGTAAAAGGCCCGAGGTCTCTTTTCCAGCCTCACTTACTCTGTCTGTGCAGTCTGTGCTCAAATATGGGGTCAAGTATTTGAACTATGGGTCTCTCGCGTGTTAATTAGCGTTGATTGTTTATTGTTAATGTTGCATTTCATAATTCCCACATCATTTCCAGCGCAGTTTGCAATTTAATGCACCTAACAACAGCCACATGCTAATTAATTCAACATTTTTAGGGTCAAACACGATTTTCTGGATTTATATACTTTCAGCAACATGCGTAAAAAGAGTTCATTTCAAAATATCGATAGATTCTCCTTTTCCCAAAGTAATACAATCTTTATATAGATTTTCAGCGAGCCGCACATAAAAGAAAGTCGAGGCAATTAATTTGGTTTTCTCTGATCGAAATAATGTCGTCTCCCAAAAATATATAATTACTGCGCTCTCCATCATTATTATTTAAAATGTATTACATAGTTTAAATAAATATTTCCAGTAATATTTTGATTAGATTAGGGCATTTCACAAAAAAATCATACAAAACATAAAATTAACGCCTGTTCGTTTATCCTAGACATAAACCAACTTGCGGCACAAAGTTATAAGCCGTAGACCACTTTCAGCTGGTATGGTAACCCTTGGGTATTTATGCTCGCCACCGCAAGCTTATTTCGCTGCACCACAGCCTCGAAACGAAATTCGCTGCAGGCATAGCAAATGCGGATCTCATTAAAGCGAATAAGGCACCCAACAATTAAATATGTATTTAAGTAAATGCACACGAAAACGTCAATGTTTCTAGCATATTCTGCAGAGTGTGGCGAAAATACTTTTACATTGCATAAATAGAATATAAGATAAATGTTAACATGCTATGCAGAATCTGTCTTATATGCATGTTCGACAGAAATACTAAATACCTTGAAAAGCTATTTATGTAACTCATCTATTCAAAATACTGGGTAAAAAAGGGTCTAATAATATATGCAAATCTATATAACAGACAGAATAAGCCATCCCACCACATAAGGTACAGATACTCTTAAAGAGCAAGAAAATCGAGCAATGTTCGATTTCAAATATTCCCCTATATAATATGTGAATCAAATTTATTCCATATATTTTTTAGCGCCCTTACTTTAACGGAGTCACGAATGTATATTCTCCGATGATAATCAATACATTATACTTAACTTTCGTATACGTCTGCGCTTTCTTCATTAATTTATATTAATAACCTAGCCAATAGTATTCCCGGTCTCGACTGTGGCAAGTTATATGCTTTTAAATACAACTTTTTCATTTAACATAAGATTTGAAAGAACACTTAAGGTCTATCGAATAAAGGAATCAAAATTTGGAATCAACATTTTCTGTTCAAGTTAGAGGATCTTAAACCTGAAAAATAAACTTTCATTCATAAAACTTTTGATCCGCATTTTCCATTCAAGATCGGTCAATTTTGTAAAATACATTTTCACAAAGATCTTTGAAAATGTTTTGGAAGCCGATCCCATGGTAAACAATAGTTGCTGGTAGAATATGGTTTTTTATTGTATTTTTATTTAGTGCTTCGTAAGTAAAGCCAAATAGACAATTCCCCTCAAAAATCTTTGAATTGCATCTTCCACCAAGAAGGCCTGCATTTTGCTAAAAGTGTGATTCACCTCCGAGCTCAACTTGAACATCTTTTTCCCGATTATTAGCGTGTCTCTTTATCACTCAAGGTAACTCAAAAAGTTTCAATAAGTTTAATTTTCATTCAGTCGGAGCAGTCGGGTGTGCCCGACTAGGGGATAGCCTGAACCATTTTCTGCCATTTTCTCATAATATGAAAACAACTTAGGTTAAATACCCTTGTGGGCATTTGCCATACGGGCTTGCAGATATGTGATAATAAAGAAGCTCGTAAATGCTGGGCTTAATAAATATTAAAAAAGAAAAAAGTTGTTCATACAAGCACTTAATTTTCCACCGATCGTTCCAATGGCCGAAAAAAGATATAGTAAATGTTTGTTTGCGAAAATCAATAACTCGCCCTGTTTCGATAAAAATCGATATCGAAGTCCTGTTTTTTGAGCAAATCTCGTAAGTTACAAGAGCTAGAGTCACCAAACTTGGAATGTAGCTTCTAGAAAAGTATATACATATATATAAACACATCAAATATCTTTCATTTTATAGCTACCGCCACCTGCCCGCTACCATCACATAGTTACACATCAAGTAAATAAACCAATTTGTGTTGCAATTGACTTTTTGAGAATATACAAATATTCTATAGTACAATAAGATCTAATGTTGAAAATTTTATAAAGAACGGTTAAGAAACATAGAAGTGATTAAAGAAAACGTGTGGTTATATATATATTGGCTGCCCTCGTGTTAGCGGCAGCTAGCGCAAAGCTTAAGAATTTCTGTATTTCTGAATTTCTGCATGTACACACACAAACATTCAAACGTTTCTTCATTGAATTTCATCATCTGCATTGCAATTGTTGGTGTTGCCGTTGACTAGAGGCGTATGCAAGTTGTGCGGTAAGCCACGGGTTCGAATCCTATTGAAGGAACTATTGTGGTTTTGTTAATTTATTTTAATAACTGCTTTAGCAAACGAGCGTGTAGCGCGAGCTGCATTTGCTGTTGGTAGAAGAGGGTACAGGGGATCCCCTAGTCAGGAATTCCCGACTAGAGCCCCGCACTTGTCATTAACAGTGACAGGCGAGGCGAGGAGGTGGTTTTGTTAGGCATAAAATGAAAGATACTTGATCTGTATATTTTATAGTTACCTTTTAATTGTTACAGATGGAAATTAACTAATATTCTGCGTTAACAACTATATATAACAACTTACAACCAACAAGTGCTGGTAGCTTACCGGTTATGTTTCCTGTGGTTTTATTGCATGTTTTCCTTCGCCTGGCAACCGGGAGTGTGTAAATAGCTGAGAACTTTGTGAATCGTTCGACCACATCAGTGATGTTATTGCCAGATAGCACCGAGGATTCCTGTTCCTTGGAAACACTTAGCCCCGCAGAGCATTCTGCCTTGTCCACGGTTGGCGAAGCTTTGCTCTGCTTAGGCGACGGTGTGGTTGAACTAAGAAAGCACAGAAGTCTTACCAGAAAATTACATTTGGACATATATGTATTACCCACCTGAGTGCCTTGTGGTATTGGCAAAAGAAGTCGGGGCGCATGCGATGCCGACAGAGAAAGTCCTCGCAGAGCCGCAAAACATCGTCGCAATTATCGCTCTTGGTCGAAGTCTCGCTCTGCTCCTTGACAGGCCCACTGGAATGGGAAGTGCGCTGGGTCTGCGGTGTGTCTCCGTGGTCCGCATCTGCAGGCTGTCGGTTGCTTTGTGGACTGTAAAGAAAGGCCGGCAGGGTTGCGCCAACGAAGTCGGGTATATTCTCAAAGAAATCAGCGGTAAGGTCGTAGCTGCTGCTGGTGCCGGAGCTCTTGAAGTCCGGCTTGGTCAAATGTCGGTCCACGTAGTCGGCGTACGTCTGGTCCGGCAGCAACATAGCATCATCATCTTGCGTGACCCATTAACCGAAGATATCTGCAACAAATGAGTTGAATACGAACGAAATCAATCGCGACATCAATTCGCATTTTAATTGCTTTTAAATCAAGTGTCCAACTTGCTCTTGCTCTCGGCTAGTCTACCCGGTGGCTATTGGTCTGTGGCTTCCGCGTCTGCTTCTGCGCCTGCACGCCCATAAACCTGTCAGTTTATTGGCGCAGGCGATTACCTCGATTAGCGTGACCATGACGAAGGTGACAGACACGGACGCTAATGCCTTTTACTATGCGTGACGGCCACGGAGACCGAGACGGAGACGGAGACGGAGAAACTGGTCACAGCTGTTCGCCTCTCAGATATCTGACATGGAACGAAGGCAAAGGCGGCAGGCTGCGGCAGATGGATGAGTTGCCAATGGAAATGAGACACAATATTTATCCTACACTTTGCCAAGCAGCTTGGTTTGGTCTCTCTTGGCTTTACGTGTGGCCTTACCTCTCGGCTACGTAACGGGGGAACTCTTGCTTTCCGCAATTAACTTAAATGATTGTCATAAAATGTTGCAAGTGTGGATGCGATGTGGATGCCCATGTGGCCACCACGAGCCGCAGGCATTTTTCAGTGTCAACACAGCGGGCGGCACCGTTTGAGTACTCGTAGAAAGCTAAACTCAGAAACTCACTCATATCTGAGTCACTTCCACATTCTTCTTGTTTCTTATGGCGGTTACCTAATATGGGCGAGCGCTGTGTGCTGAGAGATCTTCACAGCTGACACCTCGAAGGCTATTCTAAAACTGCCTTTAAACCAGCCGACTAAACCAATTAAAGCTTGTGTATCGCAATATAAATAACGCTGGTATTCCCCGGCCTTGCCCGTGGCAAGTTTAATGCTTAAAAGTTTAGATATTGCTTTATATATAGGAAAATAAAATAAGCCGAAAAATAAACTTTCGTTCATTAAATCGTTTAAATAATTTTTCACAGATTTTGATTTGTAAATAAGTTTGAAGCCCATTCCTTTGACAAACGCAATCAATTTTGCAAATTTTCCGCCAGATTTCCACAGTTGCAGGTGGAACTTCCAAAAGTGATGAAACCCAAATGTATTCATTACGTATTTTTTCAGTGTGTTTAAAATACGTTGGAGGCCGATCGGACGAAATTTAAAACATCGCCATAACAACCTAAAGCATAAACATACATTGAAGACGGTCAGATTTTTTAATAATATTCATTTGTATTGGATATATGGAAGGTATTTTTTATACCCTGAACCCATTGAAAATAGGTAAAAAGGGTATATTGTATTTGTGCAAAATCCAAATGTATGTAACAGGCAGAAGGAAGCATTTCCGACCCCATAAATTATATATATTCTTGATCAGCATCAATAGCCGAGTCGATCTAGCCATGTCCGTCCGTCTGTCCGTCCGTCCGTCCGTCCGTCCGTCTGTCCGTCCGTCCGTATGTATGAACGCAAGGATCTCAGAACCTATAAGAGCTAGAGACTTGAAATTTTAGATGTAGGTGCTCCTAGTGCCTGCGCAGATCGAGTTTCGAGTTTTCGATAATCGATAACTTACTCCATTTCCAAGCAATCGATAAAAATCGATATCGATATCCTGTTTTTTGGGCAATTTTGGTAAATAATAAGAGCTAGAGTCACCAAACTTGACATATAGCTTCTAGAATAGTATATATATTTGCATTTGGTGTTGGTATTCCCTAGTCAGGAGCTCGCGACTAGAACCTCTTACTTGTTTCTGTTTAGTTAGAGTTATTTAAGTTAATATTATTTAATTTAAGATAATCTGAAAGCTATCAGCATTGGTTAATAAATAAATAAATATTTTTTACCATGAGCTGCTGCCAGTTTTGGTAGGGTATCTCCTAGGTCTGGCAGTCTCGACTAAAGCAGCCTTGTGACATTTAAATTAGAAAATATGTCTCTTGGGTAAATTCAACCAGAATAAAAGAAAACAGAAGCTTCTTCTACTGCACAAAACAATTTAAACGAAGCAAATTAATATGAGTAGAAGTAAAAAGCAGAAAGGAATTTCTTATATTTCTTCATAACAATTCAGTTGACAAGTAGGGGCAGGCATGTTTATTTAAATTAGTAAGAGCATAAATATGATTAGCTACTGCGATTAGTTTTTAAAGACAGTTAAAAAAACAAGAATCGGCGAGCGGTAGAATTTGCTGCCTATTATAAGAACGTAACTGAATCAGCTAGAAAAATCGCATAAACTAAAATAAGTCTCATAAATATGCAGCCAGGCAGGCCTCTGTGGCCGGGCTCTGTAGTCGCCACCTCCTCGCGAATGCCACTGGGCCCCCTTAGCTGAGGTTATTTATTCTAAACAACGAGAGCGATAAAAGTTTTAGCTCAGAGAAGAAACCTAAAACGTAAACGCTGTTATAGGTCGTCTTGGTACACGCTTGCCCAGCTAGAGTTAAGGTTGATGCACACCAAGACAATGTGGCCCTGGCCCTGGCCATGGCCCTGGCCATGTGTCGATGCCAACTAATTTGCATTTGTGCTAACGTTGGCAACAACAAATCAGCGCTGCGGCTTAGATACATATAAATTGATTGCCAAGAGAGACTTTGAAATTCCTGAGTATTTAGCGGGATTGGGCAAACATTTACAATCAATTTGTGGGCCAGCGGAAAAGTTTCCCAAGAAGAAAATCAGCGATCAGTGATCAGTGATCAGTAATCACAGGGTACAGAAAAGTACTCCTGCAGCGCTTTTTGCCCCCACCCCGCCCCCCATTATTATCATCGGAGCCTGGTCTTGGGCGATGGGGCGATTCATTGCCCTTTTGACTTGCTACATGGAAATTACATGATTTAACTTAATTTAATAAAGAGCCAAGGGCGCAGGCTATTCTCTTGGACCGCCTTCGCACTGGAATCTGTTGGAGTCGTGTAGCCAGTTCGTGCCTGGCTTTTGTGATTTACCGCGATTTAGCCGTAGTCCAACACAGGCCAGGCACACATGTCTAATAGAACAACAACATCATGGCTCCGGCCTGGCATGGTCTGGCCTGGTCTGGAACTGCCATCGATTCCATAGCCTGGCGTCGTCCATCATGGTGGGCTGCCGCCAACACCACACTTGTCAAAATATTTGTTGACCCAATTAGAGCTGGGCGCAGTAGAATTGCCTTGTACCAGCCGTCTTTTCTCTCAGTGTAGACATTCGCGCAGATCAAGAGATTTTGATTAATAGCTGGTTGTTTCGCCAGAGCCGGCTATTTCCTTAGTTGCTCACTTCTCGGCAATGGCTCCAGGCCTCAGGTAGACATTGAGAAATACTTTTACAAATCAAGTCGGCAGACGATGCAGTCAAACTCAATGAAGCTCAGCCCTAAGCCTTGTGATAGCCTTGCAATGCTTTTATTCCATATATCCCCTATTTAATCCTTCACTTCTTGCTGTGGCAAATTTTATAAAGCAGCACATCAAACAAACAGCATAAAAAGCCACCAAACAATATAGTTTTTATATAAATACATAAATAAATAAAAAATGTAAAAATAATTAAAAACAAGCAAGAGTGCTCTAGTCGGAAGTGCCCGACTAGGGTATACCCTAAGCCTTCTTCTACCAACAACAACTGCAGCACCTGCTTGCTTGTTTATCGCCTTGCTGAGTAGAGGTATATACTAGCATTAATAAAAACAAATATTAAAATAGAGTAAGTTCTCCCTGCCGGTGTCGAACCCACAACTAACTTCAATCAACCCAACTACTTGCCATCTCCCCATCCATACCAAGAATTATAACCACACGTATTCCCTAATAACTTCTGTGTTTCTTGCCCCGATCTTAATGAAACTTGCAGTTTATGCTTTTGAATTTTGAGAAGGGAAAAGAGCAAACAGATTAATGCAGTGTGTTCGTTAAAACAGACACTCCCAACAATTGTTCTCCATATCCCCAGATTGTATAAACGCATAACTACGGGATTTACTATAAGGCACTTATTACTGGCTTACTACTAGCAGCTATGTCTCTCACATATACATATGTATAATTTTCAAAGATATTTGTACAAATTTAGCTGAGGAGGTTTTCACACTTTTCGGAAAATCCACCCTTGCTTGTTAGAACAATGGCCCAAAGATTTGGTGGGTGAAATTTCGGTCTCAAATTCATTTCCAGGATTTTTTATGAAGTTCATTTAAGCACTTTTCTCATCCTCTCTTCCAAGCTGGAACTGTGGTAAATTGAAATATTGAAAATCATTTTCAAAAATCTTTGTAAAAATTTATTTGATACGCATTTTACACTTTTGCAAAATTCACCCTGTAGGAAACAAATATTCCGATCAAAGGTTGAATCAATCAAGCTTCAAAATGCGCGACTAAAATGGGCGCAAGCAATTGCTGCCAACTTTTAGTTCTTTATTCGATGAATCTCACATATTTTAAAATATTTAAGTAAAATATAACATGGAGTTAAAAAAATTACTTTTAGATTTAGAATTGGAAATGGGTGGAAAATTGATGTTTAAGATTTAGAACAAAAAACATGGACCAAGTAAGGCATTTCCCGGTCTTCTGAAATTCCGAAGAAAGTGGTTCAAAATTCAGGATGGTAATCAAAGCTTCAGATGATGCATTAGATTAACCCCAATGCAGCAATGATTTAATATTGGGGACTTCTTGAGAATACAACATGGAAAATATGTTTAAGTAATAGAAAATTGCAAATATCGTCACTTTTCTGGTTTTCCCTTCACAGTCCGGAGTGAACAGTAAGGAATGGCAATCGGATAGTAAGACAGAATATATATATAAGAGTAGTCTTCGGTCTGGTTGCACAGGAAACGGAAACAACTCGTTTTTAACACCGAGTTGCGCGCCTATTTATGTGGGAGTTTACTCGACAGACAGACATATATATGTGTCTGCGAGAAGGCGTGTAAAAACTTTTAATCGGAGTTTGATTGCATTAGCCCAACAAGGCTGACAGCTGGGACGCATTTCGATTTGATCTGAGCAAATTCTTAATTTGAGTAGGACTCCAAATACAGCGATTGCGTTAAATTTCTTCCCGTGCCAGAGTTATGTAATATCATGACAGCGATGCGACGCCAGGCGATGCGATGTGATGCGATGTGATGAGATGAGATGAGCGTCCAGTCGGATGCCAACAAGTGCAGATGGCCACAAAAACTTGTCATCACCATCTACGTTCGCACTGAATCAGTTAGCAGTAAAAGGCTTGAAACAATTAGATGCATGTCAATACGATTGCAGTTGTCGTTCCCGCTGAAGCATCTCTTTATGAATTGGCAATTGCGAGTCACACGAGGCAGCTAACAACGAAATGTATACACCAAATTGTTGCCAGGAATTTGACCTCCACCTTAAAAATAGCCTGGCCCCAGGCCAGAGACGCCAACCAGTTATTTGTACGAGGCATGCTTGTGATCGATAGTATGGCAGGCGATTCTTGACCAAGCGATATTAATCAAAATGCACTTCCTAAAAAGGGGTAAATGCCACAGATAGTTTAGACTAATCAATCAACACCTTCCCCCAAAATGGACTTCATGATTAGGATATTTGCAGTTGTGATATGGCCAACAGCAAACCATATTTAGCTAGAGTATTAACGCTGCCAGCCAAGTTGAAAATGTCGTGACCAGCACGACCTAAGCATGGGCTTTTGCATTTTTGCTGAACCTGCCTAGGAGACGCATTAAAGTCCATGCTCCCCGATGCTCTCAGCTATATATCCCACATATAATATATATATATATATATATGTAAACATTTCTGTGTATGGAGTGTGGTGCAAGCTGTACACCCACAACAATTGAGCGGGAAGCAAGTGTAGTTTGCATGAGCTGAGTTGATATGCCCTCGGGTTAGGCATTACCTGTGCATCTTTGATTTTCAAGTCTGCGGCTCTGCGCGCTCACATTCGCATTCCGATTCCCATTCACGATCGCATCCCAGGCTGCAATTGTCAGGCGCAGGCAGTTGCACGCAGGAATTTATTTCAAAGCCTTGGGATGCACCTTCCACTAATTTTTTGTTTGTATCTTGTCTTCGCTGTCAGGCAGCAGTTCGCAGTTGCGGAATAACAAATGGAATTTTCAATGTCAATATCGAGTCGCAACACATGTCAGTATCCCGGCCCGACAAATTTAAATAATTATGGAAATTTAACCGCAATTCATGTAAGCCAACGCACGCCAGATAATCAAATTAATATCTGCTACCTTATCGTTAGAGAAAAGCATGCAAAGTATTCGTTAGTACCGTAATACGTGCTTATACTTATAAACGACACCCACCCACAATTTCGCACAAGTTCCCATATAAATCTTTAACGTCTGTCTTGGCTGTATATGTATTGCTGTGCATACTTCAAGGCAGCGACTAACAACTAATTAACACTTCCAGCTACTTCTACGCCTACCCCAGCGGCCAACCGTATGCTGACTGAATTAATGAACGAATTGAAGATCGCGTGACGACATGAAGTGAGTCGACATTGCCACATCGAACGACAGAGCCGCAGATCCGCAGATCCACAGTCAGTGTCAGCGTCTTTTGGGGCACGTTGGAAGCGCAGGAGCAAATGTCGTGCCAGGCAAATACATACCTCAAAATATCACAGGAAACAGGTTTCCGCGTACGCGAAAACCAGCGAATGAAAAAAAAAATTGGCATAAATGTTTATGATACAGTAAACGGATGACGACGCTGACGACGACTAACTACGAATATGATGAAAACCTGGTCTTTTTGTCGGACTCCAGACTGTCAGCCAAGTGGAACGCAACAACTGTGCACCTTACATACATATGTAACATACGTACGCCTGCACGGGTGTTATCTGTAGCATTGCATTGTCTTGGGAAAAAAACACACACATTAGCCAAAAAAACAAAAAGTAGCCAGAGGCAGAAGAAAGTGAATTGTTGAAGCTGATCAAACTACATGCAAAACGGATGTGAAACGAGGCTCTT